TCGGATGCACAAGTCGTTCTGTACCTTGTCTTTCAGAACCTCTTCATCTTTGGTGAAAGTGAACATCTTTAGGGAAAAGCGTTTAACGTGGGATGGGACAGCAATCCTGGAGTCTCTCGGGACAGGATGAAAGATGGTCACATAGCTGTCGTCACGGTTCTCACAGCTAGTGCAGGAATAAAACATAGCAGCGTTTAAACCCATGAAACTGAGATTTTCCTTTATGGAAACAATGTCTTGTGACTGATTCTGCACAAATTAATGCAAAAACATTGATCAGATCACAAAGTCTCATTCAACAGGATATACATCAAGAGTGAATGTTGCAATGAAACTGAAGGAGGCTGTGCGTCAGATTATGCTGTACACTACCTGTCCACAATGACATCCCAGCTGGGCAGTGACGTCCTGTCTTCATGAAGGGTGGCCCAACAGTTCTCCAAGATGAGCTCCAGTTGCGGGTCAGTAGACTGCATCAGCTCCACCTCAAAGTACAGAGGCTGCCTTACAGTTTTCACTACTGGATAATCTTCTGCTTGGTAGAAGAACTCGTATGATGAATCTGGAGGAGAAGAGTCCCATTAGAGGAAAAAAAAAAAAAAAAGCCATCAACTGGTGCAGACATTAAGCGTGTTAATGCATTTATGTGGCAAGATGAGGGATGTCCATTTAGTAAACTTCAATCTTACCTTCAGCTAGCCTCATTTGCACCATCAGCTGCCCTGAGCCAATCTCTGCTGTGGGTTCAATGCTTCTTGGTTTATAGCTGAAGGCAACAGTCTGAGTGTCATTGACCACGTAGTAGCAGGAAATGGTTTGCCTGAAGAGGGAAAAAAAAATTAATGTTGCCAGCCTCTAATTGCTCAGATGGTATATCAGGAGAAAAGCTTGGATGCGTCTTCCTACTTGTAATCAGGATCAACTGGTGATGTGTAGGTCGCTCCTTTGTTGTTGCCGTTGTGATACAGGCCAATCTCATTCTCATACAGCATGTAGTGGTCAAAGAACTACAAAACAAAAAGACAGGTGGCATTTAAACATTTAACATAGGCACTTATAATTTGTAGAATTAGACAGTCAACGTACTGTTCTAGTGGTCCCACAGGAGTCAGCACTGAAAGAGAAATATGCAAAGCGATCGTCGCTGGACACCGGTTTGCAGGACTGGTCCTTTAGAGTCAGCCAGCTCGGGATGAGATTGGGCACCGATTCCACCTTCACAGCCAGAGCGGTCATTGTTCCATTGGGGTAGCAGTCTGGAGATAGGAGACAGGTTTTTGATAAACAGAAGTCCTACAAGCTGAGCAGCAGAAATGCACATTTCTTATCTTACTAGTTGTGATCAAGGGGAAGCTGCAGGCCAAGTAGAGATCAGCCAGCACCCAGTTGTGATTGGGATGAAATAGAAGCACATCAAGTCTGGCTCTGACTGAATCTGAGGTAATCACCTATAAAGACAAAGTGAAGTTATTCAGTGCAGATGATTTATGGTGAGAGTTTGCAGTTTTGGCATACCTCAAACACCGTGTCCCTGGCATTATATGGCACCACGATACTGCAGTGAGTGCTGTTTTCTTGGAAGTTATAGCTCTCAGCCAGCTCAGGCGTTAGCTGTTGAGCTCCAATCAGGGTCTCGAAATTTTTGCCTTGATTCCCGTGTGTCATTCTGATATAGAAGTTGTTCTGGTCACAGGTGCCAGTGAGGGTGGGCAGCACTAAAAGCAGAGACGTGAACGAAGCATTACCTCTAGCTCTTTCTAGCAAGGATATTTAATTCAGGGAAAAAAAAAAAATATATATATATATATATATATATATATATATATATATAAATCTCACCAACATCCTGCAGAGAAGCCTGTAACTCCACTGGGTGGGCAAATGGAGTTTCTTCAGGCAGGACAATTAACCCAAAGATCAGAGGGAGGAAGTAGACTGTAACCAAAGCTTCAGGATTCTGTAGAGGGGAAAAAAAAAAAAAACCAACACTTAAAGAACAAGCAAACAAGCTGTAGGGAGTGACATTTTGCATATATAATTGTCCATTCACATACATGTTTCAGGACAACATCTGCATCAAAGGGCACTTGGAGAGAGAAGCTCTTGCTTCCGTTGGGGAAGCTGTGCTCCTGGACAGGGAAACCTCTGGCATTGCACTCCTCAACAGTGAGAACACCAGTGGAGAAGGTGATGTTCCTCAGCTCCACATCATGAAAGAAGGTCCCCAGGTAAACACTGAATACCCTCTCCTCTGGGACAGTATCTGGAGGAGCAGAAAGTGGCAGGTTTATACCTTTTCCAAGAGCCCAAATTTCTACCAGAAGAGTGACTTACGGTCTTGGGCGTGGGGAGGTCGAGGCATCAGAGGGGTGGTGATGGGGAACAAAACCTTGTATCTGGTGTCATCTTGGGTGTTATCTGCCTTCCATAGTACCTCAAGCATGGGCTCCACAGTGTATGTGATGTGGTACTGGTAATCTGGGGCATGGCTCTGCAATTATTCATGGCGTTTTAATAAAACATGCAAATGGACCAGTGACCAGGCTCATGCATATCAAATCTAAAGCCTTCCCAACCTTGTAGTAACCATCAGGTGATCCCACTGGGATCTCAATGACGATGTGAAAGTCTGTGGTAGACAGCGTGTACCCCTGTGTGGCCATCTGAGATTTATCCAGCCTCACCCCGTTGATGCCCATGTGCATTTCTAGGATTTTAAAGCTGCCCTCTATCAGAGGCGCCACGCGGCGAGGTACGTGCCAAGAGATTACATCCTCGGTGAAGAGGACGCCACCTGTTGAAAAGCAATTGTTGAAACCACTGTGCAGCAACTTAGTTTTTACTGTGAATGCTCAATGTTGCTTGAGACTCACCTGTAGGACAAGCAGCTGCCAAGTTTACCACACTCAGGCCATGTGGTGCCTTGTAGTAAGCACTCACCTTGAAGACTTCCATGGGGATTCCAGCCACCTAGAAGAGGGTTAGGTCATTTAAATAGAAAAAAAATAAAATAATAACACTTTGTGTGCGCTTCTTACATCCTCCGAATAGGTATCTGCTGTATTGTACGGGCTTCGCATAACAAGGCGGCTTGAGGTCATCATGGCACCATAGCCAGCTTGTTCAGCCTCCCTCAGCACCATTGACACTGGTTCTGGAGTGTAAAATGTCATCTTCCAGATACCGTGTGCTGCACCAGAGGAAGCCTATAAAAGGGAAGGAAGGAAAAAAACCTTGATCATTTAGAAGCTTTATTGAAGGTACAGGGTGACATTAAACCTGCAGTGGGGGAACTTTCCTCCCCTCTGGCAGTTAAAATAACTCCAAACACTGTTGATAAACGCTTATGCTTTAGTACATGCTGCACACTCTACCAGGGCACTTGTTACTTTATTGAAATTCTTCCTCTGAACACAAGTTCTCTTGCTTCAGGTTAAAGTCCCACACACCAGCTTTAAGTCAATTGTAGGAACAATGAAACATAAAAGTGTACATCAGGAATGGCGTTTATCTGGGAGCTGTCATCCTTAGTTTCAGCTTGTGGATCAGGTGTAGCCATGTAGTTCGACACCTAAAAAAAATTATAAAGAATATTGATTTAATTTTCATGACCACCCACGCTAAATTGTAAAGCCAGCAATGTAAAAGTGACCTACTTCCATGTAGTTCCTGTCGCAGAGAACCTCTCTGGAGGCCCACTGAGTGTAGCTGCACTTCTGGGTCACGTCATGATTAACCACATCTGATGGACTCTGGCTGTGCATTTTGAGTCTCAGGCCAACATTGAATGTTGTATCTTCCTACAAATTAATGCACAAACAGACATGAGGACAGGACATCCTGCTGTTCAAAGACTTTAGTATTAATGAGTTCAATTACAGCTCAAGGGATTGTCACTGATGCAAAGACTCTTCTGGTTTCTGCTGCTTTATCATTGTAAGTTGAATATCTTTGGGTTTAGGACAGATGACAATATTCAGCATTTTCTGACAAGTCGAGGAAATAATTAGTAGATTAATTGATGGAAATCAGTTGCAGCCTTGAGTTAAAGTATCTTCTTCCAAGTAAAACAAATACTTTGTATCCTAAGATATACATACACCAATTGCTTGCAATCATTGGAAAAAGCATAATTTAAAATGAAAAATCCTATCAAACAATTCAGCTCAAACATACTTTGTTGTCCACATAACAGGCCATCAGAGAGGTGTAGAGTCTGGTGTTACCCCAGGGGTCGGACTCCATGCTGTATCCACACTGAGCAGCCAAGCTCGGTGTTAACACAATGTGCTGGGTGCCATCTGGGGAGGAAAAAAAAAAAGAAAGCCAAACATGACAGGGATCACATCTTCCAGTGATGAAGAAATCTGCTCTTCATTAGCAGATTTTATACTCACTGATGGCTTCCACCTCAAGCTGGTTCCCCACTGCTAGAGCCTTGTCCAACGACAGCCTCATTAGATTACCAGCACAGTCTGACCTTAAACCACTGCCTGTTGAAAGAAAAGGAAGTGGTGACGAAATAAACCAATTTAAAAAGTAAAATTATATATAAAAGTGAAGACTTACTTGACTGCGAGTTGAGCTTCGTATTTGGCCTTGCTTGACCCAAAAGGATTACTGCAGCCATCAAGTTCCATAACAAACTAGAACCAGAAAAAACATTAAAGTAGGAAGCTAACACACATTAAAAAATAAAAGGAAACAACTTACATGTTCTCAAGCCTCCACATGTTGCAGTCTGAGTGCAGCCAAACAAACAAAGAAAGAAAGAACCTACAGGAACACACTCACTATCAGAACTCAGCAGTGAAACCCCAGCAAGCCCCCACCAACAAACCAGCTCTGGAGTGACAGGCTGACTGCCTCACTGCGCTGCCACCAGCTGTTTTATACACCAGTTAATCACATTGCACAGATGAGGCTCATTAGTGATTCCCTACTCAACCCCAACATTGAAGAATCTACGTATCTGAGAATGAACACATATCAATCAGCTGTGCGGTAAAAAATAATTTATTGTTCACAGATTACAAACATTGATTTGTGTCTGACATCAGAAATATATAATTTTCTTAATTATTCATCAAGTCAAGTGTCAAAGGAACCTAGTAACCTAATATCAACTCGTAAGCAGACTTGAACTGCGACTTCTCTTTAAGACACAAAACCTGTTTTTACTTTGCAGCTGAGAGACTTCGTATCGTGACTGTACGCCAACGTTTGATTATGGTTTCAGTTTATAGTCACAAACCTCGGCCCAGTGTCTTTATTACTGGCAGTAAAACCCAAGCTCATCGTTTTACCTGGTGCGCCTGGGTCGATCAGTCTGCACAGTCCACTCACAGACTACACTACACAGATATACTTTCATTTATGAGGCCAGTTTTTCCAACTGGAGGAGTCAGTGCAGAATCATCAAGGCCTTTACTCAACAGAAATACAGCTGATCCTTTAAAAGTCTATTACCTTGTGCAGATTGCTTTATGCTGTTTGTGTTTCACGTTAAAATTCATCTTCATTCTGATATCTTTAAACACTAAAACTGTTAATCTTCAGATTAAATCACAACCTCTTCATTTGTTATAGCTGTACAGATATTAAAGTGATTTGACAACAACTGTACATGTTACCAGATTTCAGGATATATAAAACATATAATTTATGAGGCTGTCAGTATCCCCTGTTTATCTTGTGCTGCTGGTCCAGAAGAGTCTGTTGCAGGCTCACTTTGGCATCTTCAAAATCTGGATTGAGCTTTAATGCTTGCTGGAAGTCACTCTTGGCATCGTCGAAAAAACCTGTAAGATAATAAAAAAACATGTAAATACATAACGAGTGTAAGTTTATAGGTTTGTAATGTACTGCCAAACTGGCTTGTTAGGAGTCAGCACTTCTGTATTTCTGGAACATGTGAGCACAAGTGAATACACAGCTCCACCTAGTGTCTGAGGACTGAACACACCAAACTGACTCCACATATAGCTTCATCCCACTGGATCTCTGATCTATAGTAAAAAGACAGCTGGGTCTTTTGCTAAGAAACAATAACATCAAGATTAATGTATAAGATTTGTGCAGAGATGGTCAAAGAGAGTTTGTCTGGCTCAACTTACACTGAGCCAGTAGCTCCCAACATTTCCTCTTAAGGGACTCCTTTTCTATCGTTGGGTAAACCGACGACCGCTCACATATTTTTTGGATGTTTCATATTATATTCAATGCATAACAACTGATAAACTGTAAAAAGTAACCCAAACAGTGGAGAAAATAACTGCAGGAAGTTTGTGTTAATTGCAGCAGATTATTTCCTGTAAACTTCAGAGATGATTTTACTTGATTTTCTAAAACTATTCAGTCTGTATTTTAGCAATCATACAGACTTAATAGGTTGTTCTTTTTGACAAATCCAGTGTTTTTTCCCCCCCTGACACTTGGCCATTGTTCTATTAGCTCTTAAGTTGTTTTAACTGCGTACTTTTCTGATGCAGGATGAGGCTGTTTAGCAGAGAGTGACGGCTCTGTGAATATAGCTTGTGTTCAGGTCTTCACTGTGGCCTTGCTCTGTGTTTCTATCTTAAATAATGATCCTAACTTTAAAAATAACAATTTAATTATGAATGAATTAAATACTGAGATACAGTAGGCCTATCATATGTACTTTTTAGAACTTATACCCCTTAAAAGAAAGCCTTGTGACCCCCCGTGAAACTCTGCTGAATCAGTGCACTGAGCCAGTGTTTTTTACTGGTTGGTTTACTAATATAATCTCAGTGTTTAGTGAGTCTGAGGGATTATAGGAGTTTCTCTCTGTGTGTTTGATAGAAAACTTCTTATTCCAGCCTTTCAGACAGTGAACATCAACTGCAACCAGAGTTCCCTGTTCTTCTGTCAGATACCCAGTACAGGCTACTTCTTTTATCTCCACGCAATCATATTAGGAAATAGACATTTTTGAGGAACTTGTGTTTTGAGTGTTTTTACAAGAATGTGTCGCACTGTGTAGTACTGTCCAAATTTGGATTTGATTAAGACTTAATTGAACTATCATGGAGTAGACTTACAGCTGGGTGATGAATTAGAAGGAAAACAAACAAATAACATGAAGTGTCTTAATAATAAGGCGTTGGTTCATCTGTAACTCTACAGGAAGTATGAACACCACTCTTCCAAAACATATTCATGTATTCCTGCATCTGTATTATGTGTTTAAATTTTTTTTAATTTTAATTTCTTACCTACTTTTGTGCACACATTTTCTGTTATGGATTTTGTCATGTCTTTTTTATTTTTTTTTACTATGGCCTTGAATTAAACAAAAAAAAAAAAACTAAACACATCATCATGAATTTGACATTTATTTTGAAGGTTTGGGCCGGAAGTCATTTATTTATCTGTGACAGGGTCAAAGATGGCACACCTCTATCCTTACCTAATCTATAATGGATGAGTCCCCTGTTGTAGAAAGGTGTTTCAAACTGGCTGTCAGTCTCTACTGCGCAGGTGTAATCCTCTACAGCTTCATGGAAGTCCACCCGGAGGTACTTTATCTGCCCGCGGTTGTTGTAAGCGGTGGCCAGATTACCAGCGTCACACCCCCTGTGGAAATATGACCGTTAGTTTCTACAACACCTTTAACAGCCTCAACGTCAGCGAGCCGTTGGCTGAAGCCCGGGTCACAGAATTCTACGGGTCACAGAATGAGGCGTAACACCGGTTCGTCTACGGTGGCTGTTAAGACAAATGGCTGCTGGTTTAACAGTACCTGGACTGTAAGCAGGAAGAGATAAACTTCGTGTACAGTTCCTCGGCCTGTTTGAAATTCTTCCTTTTAAACTCAGAGTGAGCATTTTCCAGTATTTGGGAGTTATCTTCCTCCATGAGTCGGACCACTGTCAACGGCTGCAGCCCGTGAACGTTGGTTTGGTCGTGTTTTGTCAACTGCGGATGTGACGTCAGGTAAGACGAGGTCCAATCACTTTTCATTGCGACTCAAGTGGGCGTGGCTACTGGAAATATTGATATTAATATGAATAAGGGAAATATTTGTCAATTGCAATTAAAATATACTTTGATTTGACTATTTATATAATGTTATTTTTAACATTTGGTGAATAGTAACACCTTGTTCTACATTTTTAATTTTTAATTTTTTATTTTATTTACAACATAATAACCAGGACTGTGCGGTTTCATTAATATGATACACCTCCTATTGTTTGTACTTATTATATTACTTTTATTTTGTCTGTATGTTTTACTGTGTATCTAAACATATATACTATGTATATAATGATTTTACTATATATAGTAGCATCTTTATCATATACATTTACTTTGAGCCTAATAAACTACTACAATATATATCTTTTAATTCTTAACTTTATTTTCATTCATATTTCATTTATTTCCTAACTTTATCAGATGAAAAAAGCTAGTAAAAGGTTGATTAACTATTTTCCTCATGTCCTATATTAGTTCTAATTAAAATAATATATGATTGAAATCACCCAATCATAAGTGTATAACCTATAAAGTTTGTAACAGCAGGTGGCAGACTTCTCATTAAAACAAGGCAGTGAAGTCATTAGTGCAAGTGCTGTATGTGCAATTTAAAAAAAGTTTAAATTATATGTAAATATTTTAGAAAATCCAGTGGCTTACTGTGTGGAATTATATTATCCTAATAATGACGCAGTGAGGGTGTTTTTATTTTAAAGACAAGGATGTGAAAGTCACAGACTCACACATCTGTCACACCGGTCTCAGGACGATGTGGACGCTCGCTGCAGTAAATACACAACAAGGAGCCAACCCATAAGCAAACTGGTGAGAAATTCCCAGACAATCTCCAAGGTGAAGAAGTCAACTGTTCTGGTGAAAAATGACACCTTTAGGAAGTAGGGGTCACCCGATGGCCGTGCACTTCCCTTATGCGGCCCATTTATCTCCAGACTGGACGAGAGTTGAAAACAGATCAAACGGGGACCAGTTTGACCCGGAGGAAGAAGATGTAGTCCACTGGTTGTTGACACTTCTGAGAAAATGACAATAACATACAACCTGGGAGTAGTTGTAGGTCATCACATCGTTCAAGAGGTTTCTGCATCCCAGAACACCCAGGAAGTCACAAACTATATAAAAGATGAGAAAGTATCCCAGAATTCATTAAATAAAAAGACTCAAGTGTTTTTTATGCATGTGTATGTGAAAATATTATTTATTTGAGGCCACTTATAAATCCTTAAAAAGCTACGGAAAGTCTTAAAAGGTTTGTTTTGGCAACCTGTACTCCTGAAGCAAAGATTGTTATGTCCAGCAGCCTGGGGGGAAGTTGGCGCTCCTTCTTGCGCCCTAAATGTTGCTGTTTGCTGAGAGAATTAACACAAAGTATCAAAGTCCACTTTGGTCTGGCAGAACCGGGACAAACATCAATCACACACGTTCATCCAGGGGCTTCCTCTTCCCTGACAGGCCCACGGCACCACCACACTGCACACATCACCACAGTTCACTGCCGTCAGAGCGTCCGGATGTACAATCTGTCTCAGTTTGGTTCTCGCAGAAGATAAAACGCAAATAAAATACTGATAAAGATGCTCATAGAAAGGCTTTGACAAAAAAAACACCACTCAAGGTGCACTTACTAGCTTTTTTCAAGAGCTTTCAACCACATTTTATTCTGCGAACAGAGCTGGTGATTGAGGTAGTATTTCAATAAAAGAGCTTATTTTAATTTTTTAAATATTTGCTATTTATAGTATTTATAATACTTGACCATTTTATTGAATTCTAGTTGTCCCTTTTCTTATTCTAAAGACTTACAACAGTTTTTGCTAATATATTAACTATCTTCTGTCTTAGTATTAGTTCACAATAATGGGTATTCAGTCCAGTTTTGAGAGATATTTTGGGCCACTGAAATCTTATTGTATGTAGTATTGTTTATGGCTTTTTAAAGACATCTGGCAAAAGGGGGCAGCCAGCCATAATCTAATGCTAATGGGGGGTTTGACATGGAAAAGTTTGTGAATTCCTGTTCTAATGTTTCAGACTGCTAGAGAAAGATCAATAAAAGGAATAGTTTGACATTTTGGGAGATACATTTATACACTTTATTGCAGAGAGTGAAATGAAAAGGGATATTTTTACGCTTTGAAAGAAACATAAGTAAGTAGTAAGCATATTTAAATACCTTTGGACAGAGGCTGGCTGTTTCCCCCTGTTTCCAGTCTTTATGCTACAGACATGAGAGTGGTATCAATCTGCACAACTAACTCTCGGCAATTGAATGTATTTTCCCCAAATGTCAAACTTTTTTTTTGTCCTTGCTATCCTGCTATTCCCTTTTTTGTACAACCACATTATTTTAATCAGTCCTTCACTCAGCTTAGTAAAGACATTTGTGAGGAGAATGTTACATAAAGAAGACTTAAAATGTGCCCTATTAAACCACAATTATCAATGAAACTGTTAAAACTCTTCTGGGATAATGTTGAAAAACTCAATTCTAAAACCTTCCAAACACGAATGCGTTTGCACCAAAACTTTATGTGTCTTTTCCACTTCTCAGACGTGTGCGAGTCCCATTCATCTTCCTCCCCTGAACCACTGGTGGGCTCACCTCTCTGACCGCCTGTGTGTGTGTGGTAACCATGAAAGCATCTGAAATAGCAAACAAACATAAAACAGCTGTCTGGTTAAAGGAAGGAGGGAGAGGATCCAAACCAGACTAGAGGTAAACGTTGGCGTGTTGACTCTCTGCCTCGCATAGACCGAGCAGACAGAGACGCTCTGTTGTCAGGGCTGTTTCAGACAAATAAGCTCATTCCAGAGGTAACACGATGACCCCTGTGTGTTGTTTTTTTTTTTTGGTTGGCAATGCTGAAGGTGTAAAAAAAAACACGATGGTGATAACAGGGTGCAAAAAACAGATGGGGATGTATTCAAGGTGTTAAAATGAGTAGCTGTGCTCAGTCGTGGGTACATTTTTACACTTTATTCAGCTTTATCTTGCAATGATTTGTGACTTAAATGTGTGTTTTTAAGTAAGAAGGGTTTTGGGGTTAGGAAGTGATCGTTACTTGACCTCAGATATCAGAGCGGTTTGACTGCTGGAGGAAATTATAACACATTGTTAATAGAAATGTCAGAGTTCGACCACCCTGTTTACCTTTCTATATTGACACAGAAATACATATTGAAACTTACAGTTATATGAGAGTCTGATATAATGCCTCTTTTGTATCCAGATACATATTTTAGATTTCGATTCTTAATACAGACTGAAACTTTACATTCATTTGGTCACAAGGTTTCATAAAGATTTACAATGTGGGATTTATTATAATAATATTTTTTATTTAAGGGAATTTATCAAGAGAAATTGATCTGAATGATCAGATCTTATCATAAGTAAAATGTTTTTACTTTTTATGATCAGAACATTTTAAGCCACTCAATGTATTCACATCCTGTCATTGCGTCTCTAGCTTTCACTGTTTGTGGCGGACTCCGCCATTCCCATGCTCATTCGAATTGCTTTGCACAACGCATGCGTATAATATGAAATAATTTAAATGATTGTATATATATTTTGATTTAACTTCACTTCACCAACATTATGTTCAGTGTTATTTCACACACAATATTATAATAATCACCTGGTTAAGAACTCAAAAATAAAAACAGTATCGCAACAAACTCCTTTGTTGTTATTTTATTGTTTATTTTGTCTGCTTGGTAACATTTATGATTCTTTTATGTCATCGTATAACATTCACAGACACAGAGGATGAAACATTTATCATTCACATAATACACTTGTAACAATAAAACTTTTGATAGTTACTATTTTAACAGCCATAATAAAGAATATATGCATAAAATATGTAATTTAGGAAACATTTTAATTGTTGATAAAGTCAATTTAAGTAAATCCAATTCAACATTTTCATAAAAATGACTATATACAATATGTAACTTTGTACAAACAGGACATAAAACATACATAATACAGAACAGGAGAAAAATAATACTTCTTTTCTTTGGTTATTCTACATCCCACTATGTTCATATAAGTGTTTAGACAAAAACTTTTACAGCAGTTTCAAAACATTACATTTAATATTTATAAAAATCCCAGATCAACTATATTGTTACACAGCGGTCCAGAGCGGTCAGTAACTGGAAGGACATCGGTTTATGAATCACAGCTTCCCTCGATGTGCGGTTGAAATCCATACAGTAGTTATGGGTGGGTGGATGACAGGAAACCAGCTGGTCGTCGCTGCAGAAAGTAAATAATCAAAAGGTGAAACTGTGTGGCGGGTGAATCACTGCATGAAAAAGAAGCTGTTAATACCTACGTCTGTGTCCAGCTTTAAACACGGCCCACCATGTTCTCCAGACGCTCTATTCTCCCAGACACGTCGGCTAGTGAGACCAGTCAAGGAAACTCTTTCACGTGAACAATCAGAGGATGAAAACAGAACGAGAGATGGTGGTCGTAATGCTCTCTTAAACATACACAAGACACACTGTTAAACAATACGACAGCAGGTAGAAATAAGCAGCTTTCACCTCAGTGAAATGTGCTGCAGAGAGTGTTTATAATAAAATGTCTTCCATCTGGAACAACAGGAAGGATATGCTTGGCTGTCAGCTGCTGAATGGCGGCCTGCGTCTGCTTCTGGAAAACCAGTCTGGCTTCACATTTACAGGGATCCGCCTGCACCACCTCCACCTTCACCTCTTCTGCAAGGAAGAAAGATTTCACACCAGTGTAACAGAACATGTAGAGAGTGAAAAAGCACACAAAAGACCAGCCACTCTTACAGGGACTCAATTCTATAATATTATCCGATAATTGTCCAACAAATGCTACAGCCAACAGTGAATTACAGAGTCGGGAATCATGCACCAGTTGGTTGTGATGTTGTGAAGCTCTGCACATTGCTTGTAAGGCTTTTACACATATACATTTAGCACTTTATCACAGCAAAAAGTCACATTTGCTGCAGGAATCCATTCAGTATGTCCTTACGTTTCAGGGAACATGTTTTCTCGTCCGCATTCAAGATATAACCATTCCGGCACTTGCAGTAATAGGAGGCATTGGTGTTGACACATATGTGTTCGCAGTCATGTCCCATGGCACAGGGGTCCAGACCTAGAATAAGCCGGGATTAAGGGATGGCGCTGTCAAGATAGATAGATGGCAGCATGGATACAGTTTCATGTGCAAGCATACAGTATACTGTAAGTAGGTGGGAAAGGTAAGGTAGTGCAATAATCAACTAAGGTTATCAGAATCTCTTCCTAATGGAGGATCTATGTTAACAAAAAGAAAGAAAATAAACAATTTTTACTGCTACGGCTATTTTTGATTCAATTGTTATATACTGTATTTTTGCTTCTACAAGGTCAAAAAATGATATTTGCCAGCTTTTCTTAGTTTGTACTTGACTACATGTGACTTGCGGTGGAAAACTGGGTCCATTCTTACACCTTCACCACATCTCAGCCAAGGTCATTTGCGAACTGCTTAGGTTCACTGTGTGTTGGACAACACAGGTAAACTCACAGAACCCTGAAGTACAACAGTAATGACAGTTATATGGACAAATTAACAAGTTTGCAGCAGAACCTCATTTGTCAAAATCTTGGGCAGCTAATTCTGTAAAATTCTGTAATTCAGATCAGCAAATTGCTTCAGATTATTGAAATTTTCACACATATCACCAGCACCAAAGTAATCACCCTAATGATTATTTTAATACAAATCAAAATTGATCATTATATAAATAAAAGCTGAAAGTTTAGGGCTGCATGGCCCCAAGACTTTACACCGGTTTAATTCTGCGACTACAAGCAGGGTCTAGTGCCGACATCTGCAGTCCATGTGGGGGTTGAGAGCATCTGGCCTTGTATTTTCCCCTTATGATTTCAGAGTTTAAAATTCACCAATAACACAGTAAATGATCCACAATCTGCCACAAACCCCCCTGTAGACTGTAGGTGTCCCTTACTGAGGAACTAGAACCAGGGTTAATGGTGGGAAAAGGGTCTCGCCGGTTTCTCTGTCCTACCGCACAGGGTCTCCCTGAACTTGGAGGTGAGCTTCTCAATAACGCCGTAGGTCTCCACATAGAAGACATGGTCATCCAGAGGGATGCTGGCCATCTGCTGCAGGGAGCGCATATCGGCGCGGTCCACGCCGACAGCATAGATCTCGATTCCTGAGGCCCGAGCTGCAGCAGACACTTCCTCCACCTGGTCCTGAGGTCTCCCGTCTGTCACGATGATGGCCACCTTGGAGATTTTCCTGGAGCGAGGCCTGGATCCAGACTGCTCGGTGAAGGCCTCGTTCACTGCGGTCTTGATGGCGAGGCCGGTCATGGTGCCAGCCGCCAAGGGCTCGATGCGGGTGATAGCTTTCTTCAAGTCGGGTTTGTTGAAGTGGTCTTTGAGCAGAAACTCGATCTTGACCGTGCTGGCGTAGTTGACCACAGCCACTCTGGTGGCGTCCGTGCCCACATCCAACGTGTCGACCATGTCAGCCAAGAATATTTTCACCTTCTCAAACTCACCAGGACGCACGCTGCGAGAGCTGTCAATGATGAAGACCAGGTCCAGGGGACGGCTCCTGCACTGAGAGTCTGTCTCTGGTGATCAACCAAACCATGGCGGGATTAAGTCCATGTGATACTCAGAGAAACAGTCAAGTTTGTCGGTTAAACTGTCACCGTGAGAGTGATACAGTTAACAATCAAGAACAAAACACAGGACACTTATGGATGTACAATACTTGTTCCCTTGGTAATAAAAGGAAACCGTTGTACATCACTGCAGTGGTAAAAATAAAAGGTTGTGGTTCTGGTGAAATGATATAGCATGCCATCATTCATACTGTATCATTTCAGCGTTTCAAAGGTCCAACAGAGACATTTCATATCCTTTTATCTCATTTGCCTGAATGAAAAGGATGCTTGATGCCCACATATAGAAAGTGACATCACACCTAAAGATGGAGACGGTGTTAGGAGCCCTGCCTGTCAAATCATATATACTAAATTATATATCTGCAGCATCAGATCCACTCTGCTTCTTCACAGCAAAAATACTCCTGTTTGTTTCATAAATTCAGACAGGATGAATAATGAAGTAAAATAACATTTCAGTCTATTTAGAAAGCTACTTATTTTGTCTTCTAACACTAAAATATATTGCCGCCAACAAGTTAAATCACTTGTAAAATACAATGACATCTGCTCTAAAGGAATAGTTTGACATTTTGGGAAACACTCTTATTCGCTTATACTTGCAGAGAGTTAGATGAGAAGATCAATACCACTCTTATCTCCGTACAGTAAATAGTCAGCAGACAGGTTCACTTAGATTAGCATAAAGAGAGACCTGGTACATAGTCTCACTGATTATATGGGTATAGAACCCACATCGATAATTTACAACAATTACATATAACACAACAAAACAGGACCTCCACATGATGGCTTCCTAGATTAAGTGTAAATTAGTGAGTTTTAGTGGTTCTGATAGGTGGATTTTGTTACCTTTTTCTTTTTCTCACCTCACTCTCAGCTATAAAGAGAATAAGCGTTTCTCACAAAATGTCGATTTATTCCTTTAAATAAAAGAATAAATGCTTTAAGTGGCGTTTGCATATTTCTATTACAAACAGATCTGACCTGGAAAGCATTGAGGAGCATTGGTTGGGTTGGAAAAGCAAACCTGACTATAGGCAATATTCTACCTGTCTCCACAGCACTGACGGTGGTGATGAAGCCGCTTTGGGTACTGACCGGTAGCGTCACGGGAGCGGTGGTCTCCACTGGCGCCACAGTGGTCACCACCACTGGCATGACGGTTGTCACCGGCGCCACCGTAGCCGCTGGCCGAGTTGGCTGCACTGTTGGCTCTGGTAGAGGTGGAAGGGTAGGGAGGTGTACCACGGGTGTTGTTGGTACTGTTGGGTCTGACTTTGTTGGGCATGGACCTTTCATTTTGTAAGGGAGGGGGCCTTTGAGCCTTTGGTGGGGGTGGTGAGCTACTGGTGGAGACAGACCTTTGTATATGTGGTGCATGTGTGGTGCCACTGGCCCTTTGAATCTGTGGTGATAGGGCGGCATGGGGACTGAGGGTCTGTGGTAAGTCACTGGAGGAGATAGAGGAAAAGGTCGATACACTACCGGTGGAGGGATCCTTGGTGGCTGGTAGTGGTAGTGATACCCTCCTCTATACGTGTAATCACTTCTGTGAACTACAGCGCCACCAGAAAGGAAAAGTGATACAGAACATTAGTAGGTTGAAAGTAGGTAAACAGGAAAGTTGTGTAAGTTGACACTTGTTAAAGTACGTTGTAGTGGAATATACAACAACTTTTTTTCTTTCTTAGGAGCACAGACAAATTATTAGTTGAAGCATGAGTGTAAGTTCAGCAACCCTGGGTTGTTTGCAACAAGCTGGGATTATCCTGCATAAAGCTTGTGAAACACCCAGACAAGAATTTCAGATTTCATGCATGATGTGCTTGAGAAAAATGGAAAATCATGTCGTTATACTTTTTGAAGTTGAAATATCTAGGCCAGGTCTAACCTTTAATACTCTATTTCAAACTTTAAACTTGAAAATTACTCTTTTAAAATGTAATCTGCAACAAAAAATTACTAACATTACAAAACAATTTGCATTATTTTTTATGTGAACAGAGATTTAAAAGGTCTAATGTGGCTATAAAACAGTACAAATGTAATTTAAAAGTACATTTACTCAAGTACAGTGTGATGGTTCTTTACTTTAGCTCTTCCAATTTATGCATTTATACTTCTACTTTTCAGAGGGAAATTTACTTTTTACTCCACTGCATTGATTATATTTTCTAGTTAAATAACATTTTACACACAAAAACAACGATAGGCTCAAAGTTAATGTGATCTCCATCTACTACATTAACAGGCTGCTAATAAATTCTAGAAATAATCCAATAATCTCATTTACTGTATAATAATAAACACTGTTACGGTTTATTTTTCTGCATAAACATACTTTACCTTACTATTGATGATACATTAATGATAAATTTTGAATGCATTTACTTATTATAGTGTTTTTCTGTGTTGGAGAAGGTATTCAGATCTTGTACTTCAGTAAAAAGCAAATGTAGAAATACTCTATTACAACTAAAAGTCCAGCATTCAAATGTTTACTCAATTGCAAAATGTACTTAAAGTATCAAAGTAAAAGTACTCATTCTGCAAATGGCCCTCAAAGTTTAGTTTTCACTGCTTTATATCCTGTTAGCTAGTTTAGACCAGTGGTTTTCAATCTAGATGGGTCCTGAAGTGATTCATGGGAGAAGAACAAAATTTGATGATATGCAAATTATCAGCATTTTTGGACTTTTTTCAGTTATTTGATATTTATATTTCTGGGACATTTTGAACACTTTAACCTCAAACTGTTATTTAGTTTAGAAGTTCAGAGCGGAAATGTCTCTTTTATTAGAATTGCTAATAACTAGAGATCCTTATCACATAGAAAGTAACAAAGAAAATAGTAATGCATTTTATTTTATAATAAAAAAATAACAATAAATACAATATATATAGATAATTTGTGGAGTAAAAACTACAACATTTGTCACTGAAATGTAGTGATGAGTAAGTATAAATGACCTCAAACTGTACTTATAGCATTTGAGTAAATGTCGTCCATCATTGAAACTGAATTTAATAAAAAGTAACTATTCTTTTAGTTTCTGTCAAACTTACTTGCTGGATTCAGGGTCCTGATTGGGGGTCGGCCATTGTTCCTGGTCTGTGCGTAGCTCTGTGCGGCTATGAGCTGAGGGTCCCCCGCACTGAGGTGGTATGTGGCCTGAGCATCTGACAGCAGCAGTGAGGCGCAGTACAGCAGGCTCCACAGAGGCTTCATCGTATCTGCAGAAAGTCCTCCGGTGGTCTGTCTGGTGCCTGCTCTCACTCCTCAGGGTCCTGCTCAGCTCACCGGGGGGGGGGGTTGGACCGCCTCCTCAAACTTTCTGCCCAATCCAAAGGTGGGACATGAACTTCAGACCACGGTGACAGACAGTATGGGGGACGGTATAGAAAACCACTCCAATATCTGTCCCAGGGTGATTCTAATATTTCTATTTTATTTATAATGTTTGATTTATAATATAATAATACTTAAATATATTTTCTTTCTCAAATTAAAGTCTACATGGTGTTTTAAAACATTTTGCACACTGCCAGGAATAATATTTAATGTAGAAATGATGAAAGCTTCTCTCTCTCTCTCTATATATATATATATATATCTACTAAAAGTAATCAAATTTAAACACAAGTCTAAAAATAGTGAAATCAGCTTATAAAATATTCAACAGGTGAACTGTAATAACATTTAAAGTGTCACAAGTAACCCAGCATAAACTCCTAACCTTCACTTCGTTAATAAATAAATCAAATGAAATACTGAACACTTGTTTGTGATAGTTGGCTCAAGATGATGAGAAGTTGTTGGAAGAACCTATAAGATAGTTCAGGCAACGCTTTATGTTCTAGTTTATCAGTAATTAGGTCAAACTAATTGTTTAGAAGGTCCAGTGTAACATTAAGGAGGATCTGTTGGCAGAAATGTTATATAATATGTATGTTTTTATTATTGTAAGATCAACTGAATATAGAAATCATTACGTTTTCGTTACCTTAGAACGAGTCGTTCTTATCTACAGAGGTCACCTTATATGTTGAACCACCATGTTTCTACAGCGGCCCGATACGGACAAACTAAACACTGGCGAGTATCATAGTTTCTCCTTCACGTGGAAGGGGGGGGTGAGGCAAGGGAGGTGCAATCTGCCACTACACCTAGATGCCACTAAGTTCTTAGCTCTCCTCTTTAAAAAGCTGTCACATTCTGAGGTAACAAAAACACAATGTTTCTCATTTTCAGGTCATTATACAATAATGGAAACATACATATGAATATTACAACAGCTCGAGGCGAGATTGTTTTCCTTTTGCTTTAACTTAAACACACAGACGTGAAAAAAAGAGTCATAATGACATAAATGTTCTGAAAGTTTTATTGAAGTTCAATGTTTTTCCACTAAAATCATATTACCAGAAAAGTAATGGTGGCGTGAGGGGTTCGGGGGGGTGGGGTTGTTGATAAGCATGCAACTACTAATGTTCACAAGACTAGCTGTTTGCTCCAGATGTCTGGTGAGAAAGAAGCAGGGAAAAAATGATCCATCACCAGTGGCCCTCTGCTGTCTCTCTGCAGTCTGCAGCTGGAAAACTATTCAGTAGCTCTGCTGACACATCAGGGCGGCAGAGGGTGATGAAAACATCAGGGATGGTGGTGAACTGAACCACAGCAAAGCTAAATAAATAACAGACAAAAAAAGTGCTACAGAGTCCATTCAAGGCTGAGCTGGAATAGTCTAGATCTTAATAAGTATGGGTGGGGGTGGGGGTGGAGGGGGAAGTAACACAATTCAACAATAAGAGCTATAATAAGTGGATTGTCATAATAGATTTTTTTTTTTTTTTTTACACTTCATATATCAATCTATAGATAGGATGGTGCTGGATTGATGATAGCATTTCAAGCAATTTTTTCACGTATCCCTTTTACTAAGACATAAAAAAAAGGCCAGAGTGGGAGTGGGGAGGGGAGGAGGGGGCTGGTAGCTTTTCAAACATCACATTCATTCAGATTTCAGTCTTTCCCACCTTTCTTCCTCTCACACCACCAGGATGCTCGATACAGAAATACAGAGAGGGGGAAGGGTCGAACAAAACATTTTTCAGTGGCCTTACACATACACAGTGGGTCAGAGGGAGAGGGTGAGGCCGTAATGGGTGTTCAGAAAGGGTTAGTGAGGGAAGGTAGGAATGCATATGGTGGTGTGGGTGTGCGTGTGTATGTGCGAGTGTTTTGGCAACAGTGCTGGTGCTTAAGCGGGCATGTAAGGGGGAGGCGGCTCCTTCTCTGGCATCTTCATTGCCATCTCGTAGGTGGGCAGGATGTACTACAGGAGGAGAAAGAGATAAAAACACAGAGTCAATTTGGGCTTTGTGATATGTGAAGGACACTTTTCTCTATTAATTGTTTAATTGACAAAATAATTGGTGAATTAATCGATAATGGAAATAATATTTGTTAGTTTTAACAGTAATCCTGAGTTTACTTAAACAATGAGAGGACTCAGTTTAGTGTAAACTTTGGTTAAGTGCCCTTGCATCAGGAAATCACAACTTTTCAATGTGTGACTAAATATGTTAAAGGTTAAACAGAAACTGGGTGAAAAGTATGAGCCTTAAAGTATGACAATTGTTTGAAAGTTCACCTGCAATAACTGTTATAATCCAGACATGGTAAACTCTTATAAACAGATATGTAATGACCTCTTTTGGCTCTCTAGCACTCTCTTCCAGACTGTTAAAGTGTGGACGAGATGCCACCTGCTGGTTTAACTTAAACATTACATATTACTGCATCTGATAAACAGTGTCAAGTGTGTTTTTGTGACAGCAGATACTGAGACAGTAACTCGGGCAGCTTGTGTACCTGGGGAGGGGTCTCAAAGGCGGGGTAGACAGCAATCTCTGGCATGTTCCTGTTGTTGATGTACTTGTAGCAGTTCCACACACAGTTGATCAAGTAAGCCTGGAAAGCAAAGACGAGATTGTATTTGAAATGGACTCAAGCCTTTACCGAATCCTCAGACAGGAAATCAACATACATTTTCTTATACTACCATGATGGTTTGTTTTTTTATATCAGATTGCTTTTGAGAGTCACAAATTCAATGAACCCACACACTGAATAAAGCAGATCTAAGAGTGAATAACCAATCATTTTAACCTTGAGGATGATGAGGAAGGCAAAGAAGACCAGCACAAACAGCAGCAGGCAGCTGGAGTCCAGAGAGAGGAGGTTGTCCTTGTACGGGAAATCCGGCTGAGGAAGACAAGGACGGACAACGTCAGTTAATCAATAAAACCTTTTTATACTTATTCAACTCACATCACCATCAATGCACCACACAACTCAAAAAACGTAAGAGCAACTGCCATGAGGGCTTGCTGTCGTAGCACCAATGTGGAGCTCTTATAATTATTTCTAAAATATTAGAGAAAGTCATTTTTTTAAGTATCTCTATTAAAAACGGTTTATCTGTTTTCTTAAAAAAACAGCAGAATAGCCAATTTCCCCTGTTTCTATGAACATGGAATCATTTTCTAAAATGCCAACACTGTCCTCTTGTAGGAGGACACAACAAATCCTCTTTTTAGTGAACGATGGGAGCAGATTTCAGTTTTTTAATAAATGAATACAAGAAAGAATAATAATAATGATCCTATAATGGAGGCTATTTGTTAAATACAACACAGAAATGTCTCATCTTGAACATTAACATAGTCGAATATTGTAGGTTGTCACCAAAATAAAAACAGTTGTATATAAATAAAAAATGAAATACATGTGTGTCAGTGTTTGATGTTTTTACATTATCCATTAGGGTTTTTATACCAAGCACAATGTATAATTATGTATTCTGGACATGAAAACGTTTAGTCCAATTATATATATATATATATATATATATATATATATATATATATGCACACATACCAATCATATGTCAAAACATTGCTAAATCTTTCTTCATTAATGATAGAAAAAAACAATCCTAACTGTTTAGTATATGTACTAATGTGTGTACAGATATAAGATCGACATTAAAATTAGAATAACTTCACTCCTTTACATACACCTTGGTGTTTTTCAGTAAAAATAAAAACAATGAGACTCAGTTATATTGTCTACAACGTCTATATGTCTGTATAATGTCTATATAATGTCAGGATTCTATGTGGTAAAATAAGTATGAGAGCAATAGTGTGATTGATTAATGTGGACTGTTGGCACTGACCAGCTGGTCCAGGTAGTCCTTGATCCTGGGCAGGTAGGTGAGGGAACTGATGGCCACCAGGCAGCTCAGAGCGAAGTCAAACAGCTGGTAGCAGAAAAACGGGATGAGCCAGCCGTCGCGATGCTGAGGGAAACAATAGCAGGTGGAGATAAAGTCATGTTATAAACAAACTCGTCTATTGGGCAGATACTATTTGAGGCCATTGAGGAAAAGGACCATGTTGCCTTTTTTCAACCTTATATATCTGTATCCAGTAGGTTGGTTATATTGATCTCTACAGACTCACTGTTTTAGAGTCTAACATTAGTGCTCAGAGTTTTAAATTCTAACCTTGGTTCAAATGTCTAGTTAGAGCCTTTCTGGATTGAAAACATTTTTCCTACTACTCAGGCTGTGATTGCATCATCAGATGTGGTTTGGGGTAAATGAAAAGAGCCTGCCCACAGAGACGGGGAGTGCTGACATTGTAACTGTGTACACCAGCATGTACTACTGTAACAAATACACAGAGAAGGTTGAAAATCAACAAATTGGTCCTTTACTGGCTCACATCACAAGAATCTCTACAGGCATTGTGGGGGGTTTTCTACCAAAAGCACAGTATGCTCCGGCCTTGACATTCCTACATGTAGCAAAGTACTGAATATCTTTGTTATATTATAATCATGGTTTAAACATTTAGGGTATCTCATTGGGACACTACAGTGCTAACAGCAGCTCTGTTCCTCCACACTGTATTGGTAAAAGGGACTCGACTACAGTTGTCTGGGCATGTGTACTTGCACAGCTAAATCATAACTCATAACTCAGACTGTACTCAGCCTGCAGACGTGTGTCATACTTTAGCTGTGCAGTCATCCCAACTAGCAGCTTAATGCAGGGCCGCTTCAAAAGGCTATCAAACCTGTCAGTCTTGATGCCATCAGGCAGGCCTGTGAGGTAAAGAGAACATAACATTGTGTGCTACACTCATACTGCATCACAATTCTTTTGAACATCCAGCTAAAATGTACTGCAGTTAAAAAGAAACAGAGGAGGGTGCTTTGGTGTTTCCTGTTACGTCTTACTTACCGCTGAAGTCTGGTGCTATTATTACACAACCTGAAAGTGATGCTTTTTCATACATGCATATTCTGAGATTACACATTTGCATAAGAAACCACGACAGCGCTTTAAATAAAGTGTACGCTGTCAAAAAAAGAATTGAAAAAAAGAAAGGCAGCACCATATCCTCTGTGCACACTTACAGTAATGGCTCCATACACCATCATGGCACTGATAGTGAGCATCAGCAGAGAGATGGCAAATCCAACACAGGCATTCTCTGTTTGAGAAAAAGTGAGAGTAAATAAATTGACCAAGCGCAGGGAAAGGTTTATTACAATATTTGTGCAGCGTTACACTTAATGTATATATATCAGTGAGTGGATGATTCATGTATTTTCCTGATCTCTTTGAAGCAGCAGGGCTTTGCGCACAGTGTAAGTGAACTGTCTCAGGGGCTTCTCTCTTTCCAGCTATCTCCGTTATGAAAGGCCAGCTCTGGGGAGCATTAAGCCTCTCCCTCTCAGCAGCGTAGTGTTGGTAAAGAGACAATGAAATCCAGTCTGGGATAATTAAAAGGCCTGCCCTTCATATCTTATTTTCTCTCTATTATTCAGATTCGGGCTTCCTCAAACTGTTCTGCCTGTTGCACTGGAGATATGCGGCTTGTGAGAGAGCTACTGCGGCAATGCAGTCCAGAGACATTTCTTTGTTATTCAGTAGCTCAAGCAAAACAACTTGTACCTCAAAGTATGCAACTGTCAGAGGACTGCCTGGAGCTCATCTTTAGGATATTCATTAAATTCTAAATATGAAAAGGGGCCTGTATGTTGGAGCCGATCAGTTCCATCCTCCTTTTTTGGATTCATGAGTGTTCATGAGTACCTGTTACTTAGTTATAGGTTTATGATTGGGCAGGGTAAGATGTGTCAAAGATTGCTATTTAATATTAAATCTCCAACAAAAAGTGAGCAGATCTAAAAGACAGTCTTCATACAATGTCCTCTACTTTTTCTTCTCGATTAATCTAATTATTTTTTTCTTAAACCAAATCTGACATCTTCAAATTGCTGTTTTGTCCGAATAAACAGTCCAAAACCCAAAGATGTTATTATAACCCTAACCAGAGAATATTTAGCATTCTGTATTTACCTCTAATTAACTTAAATGACAAATACTTAGATCAATCCAAACTAAAGGCCAGACAGCATAACCAAATGCTCTCTATTAGTTAAAATCACTTTTAAACATGGCCTGAAATATGACATGAAGTGAGTGCAGCCTTATGAAGCTGCAATAATACACCAACATTGCCTCTGCAGGCTGTGGACAACCTCCACAACCCTGTGTGCTGGCATGAGCCTGCTGTGGGAAGGTCAGCCCACCACGATTGTTTCCCCTCCTCTCCCACTGAGTCACTGTTTTAGAAAAACGAAGAAGCCTTCACCAAGCCAACTAACAAAACAACCGCCAGCTAGAAATAAAAGGCACTCTGATAGTCCTGCCAGCCCTGCCCTGGCACATATAAACACAAACGCCTAGGACCAACAAATCTTTGAGGAAATACAAAAGGAACCAGTGACACCACACCAACAACAACATTTTTAGACAACATGTACACAGCACAGCAGTGTTCTCTCGTCCTCATGAGTTGTTTTTGTTTTGCAGTCAGTGGGGAGTGGTGCTCCCTGTGGAAGATGAATCACATGTTCAACCACAGCATAAAAGCAGCACATGAGTTAGTGGAGGAAAAAAAAAAAAAAACAGATTTACACAAAATCCAGTGACCGAGAATACGTATTCACAGTGGAATTAAACCGACCCACCCAAACAGAATGTGTTTGATGTGTAAATGCTCGGTAAACTCGATGAAATGTCTGTTTTTATAATGCAGTTTGTTAGCCCTTACAGTCATTCTTATGTAGAGTTCACTGCTTACCAGACATCCTGTCAGAGGCAAAGTAATGGTCGATGACCTCATACTGCAAGTCAATGGTTGGCACGTTCTCTGGGTGGGTCACAGCTACAGTCAGCAGGATGCCCATCAACAGGTTGACGACCTGAGAAAGGGGAGGATGAAAAGAAGGTTTCAGAAAAGGACTCTAGTAGTACTTCTGCATGTCTTAGCACATAACTTACAAACTGTGTATCCTGGTGTGGGGACGACCCGGTTTTAGTTTCCTGTATTATATGAATTTTTCATATACCACAGTAGCTTTGCACAGCTGAAACAACTGCATTTGTTTCTTATTAGTGCAATAGAAATATCTCTTTAAATGCCTAAATTCTTTTTTAGGTCAGTTTACACTGTTAATACAACTATTTAAAAATATTTAGTTTTGAAAAGGAAGCAATGTTAAAGCTGTTGGCTTATCTTCTCTATCTTTAAGTTCAGTTTTTACTAGGTTGCAGTTTGCACAATCATAAACGGTTTCATCTATTTCTTCATAAATTGTATAATTTTGTAGCCAAGAAACCCCTACAGTAATACTTCTGTACATACATGATGCCAATAAAATGTTTTTATAGTCTATGTACTCCTGACCGTATAATAACCCACTATAAACCTATATAAAACGGACCAGTCAGGCAAAAAAATAATAAAATAATACTGTGATACACCGTGAAACTGCATTATGTATCCTTAAATAATGAACAACATATTCCAAATATGGTTTAGGGTGCATTTAAAATCAAATTCTTGCCTTACAAGCAGCTTTTGTTTTCAGCTCATGTCAATGTTGTAGGAAAATTAACTTGCAGAGATATGGATGAGACGGATGACGCAAGATTACACTGAACAACTTATCATCCTTTTTTTGTCAAGGTTACTTTATCATCATGTGGGAATGCAGTCGTGAGGAGGAATCATTCACGGACTCAAGGACACTCCAGCTTTAAAGCATTAATAGTCAACAAGATACAGTGTGTCGTTGAAAAATAAATTCCACAAGACAAACAAGCTACTGTAAATACTGAGAAAAAGAAATTACACACGCTGGCATATACTGAAACTGATGGTTATCTCGAAAAATAAGGCTAATTATACACCGTGAAACAGTTGGTAATGTTGTGAAACTTATGCAACTTGAAGCTGAACTAGCTTTTGAGAAGTGGAACTAAAACTGGACCAAGAATGCGCTCAACGAAACAACACTTTATAGTCAGGTTTTACACCAACTTATGGGGACGCAGCCTCGCCTGCCTGATCAAGTACCAAAGTTAAAACTGTAAAATCCTCTTTCTTCTACTCTCAGCAACTGTGTTTCCAGGTTGCAGTTTTATTAAAAAAAAAGTTCTTGCACACCATTACATGACTTAATGATCTTAAGTGACAACCTAAACTAAACTAAAGTGATAAAAGAACTGTATTTATCATTATACAACACAAGGCTGTATAACAAAATGTAAGTGTATAGTTAGTTCATGCTACACACATAGAACAAGATATTAAAATTCATAGAATAACATAGAAAGACTAAAATAAAACAACACATACAGTTATTTATATACATACACGTGTACACCCAGGAAGTAATTCTGCAGTGCATCTTTTCAATTTCACTAGTGATGGTAATATGGTTTCATGTTCACATAAAAATAAACAGAAAGAAGCAATATTTCCCCAAACAACGACTAAAATGTAAAAAGTGATTTCCACAGACCACAACTTCCTCATAAAGGTCTTTTCCAATCGTTATTTGGAGATTTAAAAGTTTTATTTTTAATTCCTCTGAGCCTCTTTACATCATTCCTCCAGGAAGACAAGAGCTTGAACACACACACACACACACACACACACACACACACACCCCAGTTAATGACTATTAACCTGTTGCAATGGCTGTCACCAAACACACACACATATTTGAGTCTGGTTGACTTTAATAACCATCATCAACAGTTTTTAGATTATTGAATCAACGTGGAAATAGAAGAACACGACTCACGTGTTTTATGTGTCAAATATTGTCCAGCTGGAACAAAAAAAAACAACAAACTCTGACCAAATCCAGACGCCATCAAACCCCAGAACATCTGTTTATGTGTTTATGTTTATGTGTTTATGTGTTTATGTGTTTCTGTGTTTAAAGGAAAGCGGATTAATTCAGCAGTGGGTTCAGTGAGACTGTAGCTAACATTAGCTAGTTAGCTCCTCCAGCTGTGAAATACTTACTTCCCCTTTTTAACTTCACTCAGCCCTTTAAAGACCGTAAACACTGGAAATAATCTCCAAACATCCATTATAAGGAACTTTAAGTTACAGCGGATCGTTGAGTACAAGTCAGCGGGATGTTGGTTAGCTTTGGGCTAACGGGCTATAAAGCTGCATAAAGTTATGCCAAAAATGTCACACGTATATAAATAAATATATTAAAACTTCAGTTAAATAACTTCGGGGCAGCTGCTACCTGTTGTCTTTTAATCGTGTTTCTAACCGCACTTTCAAGGTTGGTCGGGTTAATATCGACAGGAACAAGCTAGTCCAACCTGAAAAGCTAACTGCTAACGCTAGCTTCAGATGACGTTACCTCGGAGACTAACGGTTGCTCCTAACGGTCGTGAAGTAACGCACAGCTCACATTGGACTGACCCGCAACGGTCACTATCCCCGCAGCACCAGGAGCCGTCCGCCATCTCTGGCTGACATTCATTATATAACTCGATACTTGAACTTATCACACTCGGCGGGGCAGCGCTAGCTCGCGTTAGCTCGCTGACACCCATCATCCATTTTACGCACCATGTACCAGGTTCCCAGGATGATCGTCCCCGTCCGGACGTGGCAACATCCACAACACCTGGTGGTGTACAGTCTGTCTCGACTAGGCTTAAAATGATGCATGTCCTCCACAAGCGTAGGAAGAAACATCGGGAGAGCTGTTCGTGGAGGAGACTAAATCTTCTCGGCATCAACAGTCAGCAGCGGGACGGACACACGGAGGAACGCCCACCACCTTCCCCGACGACCTGCGCGACGCCGCGGATAAAAACAAACGCTCTGACGGGGCGGAAGGGGCGGGGACTGGCGGCCTAGACGTTGATTGACAGGGGGTTTGAACCAATGGCGGTGAGGACGTTAAAAGTATAACCGATAGTCTGCTGATTGATCAGTTGATTGAAGAGCTTTCAGTGGCCACCCCGAGCTCACAGAGGGGCAGTTTATTTGTAATTTCATTGTGTGCAGATTTGTTTGTTTAATAGTCTACCACCACTACTGCCAGGGTTGGGAGGGGTAACTTTAAAAATGGGATCCAATGCAGTTACTAATAGTTTCACAGTATTAAAGCAATGTAACTTAAGATAAGAAGTAGTGAGTGTACTCTATATAAGACAACAGGACAATGTAACCTTTGATAAGAAAATATTTTCTGTACTAAAAATGTGTCTTCTGCTCATGTTTTTTTTTTTTTTTTTTACAGAGAAACTGATGTACTTCAAAATGTAACTAACTGTAATCGGATTAGGTATTTCTTTCTGTAATTTATGGATTACAGTTACCTTGTAATCTGTTACTCCGCAAGCCTGATTACTACAACACTAAAGCAAATTATAAGGCAACACTTGCATTATTGACCCAATCTTGAGGCACCTTTTTGTTATTTTACTTTATATGGTACTTACATGGTGCATTTTTACCAAATAATTGTGCACTAGTCACATTATCTCAAATGTAATCAGTAGGAGAAACAGGCCCTGGGTCAGTACACAGCTCATTATTGCTCTGAGTGAGTCAGTGATTACAGATAATAAACCATTTAATCATCAAGTTATATTACCTATGTGATATCGGAGCAATTCCTGATAAAAACTAAATCCTCTGACTGTACTATATATTATAGTAACACACTATAATGTCCTCTCATACGAACATTTAAACAGACTGTATATACTGGATATATATATTTACAATGTATGCAAATAGAACATAAAATAATACATTGAAGTTTAAAATGGTAATAAAGCTAATTTATTAACAATTACAGCATACAAAAATAGCAAATATCATTTCATGACACATATCAAGACAAGAAAATGTGTTACATTGTAGCAGCTGACTATAATTACCTAATAATTGTCATTTATATTTAATATACGCCCTGGAATGAGTTTCCATCAGATTCTTTATTCATATCTCAGATCACGTGGTTTATTTAACTGTAATTGGGGAATCACATTAACAAAGTGGATCAAATAATTTTAATTTTCTCTGTTCTACTCAAAGGTCCCAGGAAGCCACGACAATGTGACAGTGAGCGAGCATGGACGACATCAGCACTCTGAAACTGAAGCAGCCAAATTGTATCCAGCCATTGCTCAACGTATTATGTACACCTGTGCTTCTCCTTCTGTGACATGAAGCATCTTCTGTACACACTCACACTGTCCTGAGAAGAGGTCTAAATAGGCATGAGCCCAAACTTTGTAAGGCTTTGTAAAAGAGAGGCAACGGAATAGACAATCCTTCATTTCTTTTATGATAAACATAAATAAATTATCAATCAAATATTCCCCAGTTAAACACCAGTTTAGAAAACAAACATCATTGAGTACAAGTACAAGTGTGTTCGGTTAAACAACCACTTCTTCTCTGTTGGGTTTGTGATAATCTTCGTCACTCTGCTCGCCCAGGATGTATCCTCCATCATCTTCCTTATGCCATTTGTAGATTAATATCGCTGCCAGTGCGACCGCGAGCGTCACCCCTATTACTGCTCCAGCAATAACACCTGTAAACATGAACACAAATGACTTAATTAAATTAAACCCCCCCAGTGTATCATTCTCAAAGTCAGTGTGCTGTAATGCAAAGTACCGGCTAAGACGTCTTTACTCTCCAAGAACTGCTTGCTGTTTGCCAAGACAACAAACCCTGATCTGCTGTCTTCTGCAGGCCCGTGCGTATTGTCAAACCTCGGGACTGAAGAACCCTGAAGACAAAAGCAGGAACTTTATTTCTTGCTGTCATCCACATTATGAAGTGTTGAAATGGTGAACCTTGTGAAAACAAGTCATGTGTCTTACATGGAAAGTATTCTGGGTTCCACCTCCGCCTTTTGCTGCAAGAATTCTGACATCTTGGCTGTTGGAGTGACCCTCCTCCTCCTCCTTGTTGTTTTTCATCTCACCTGGTGAGGCAGCAAATGGAGAGCATGAAATATGTTGTGGGACATGAATAAAGTGTATAATTTTATAGTTTTTGTTTCTCATAGTATTACCTTGTTCTGACCAGTCCCCTGAACCGGAACCATAAGTGTCCAGGTCATATCCGGATCCCTCCAGGTCTTCAGGAAGGGCAGAAAACTGATTTCATGGAGAAGAAAGAATGAGGATATTTAGAGATACAGACACAATACTGTTTCCTGTCTTATTATCAGATGTATGAAAACAGACGAGGTGAAGGAAGCTGGTTTAGGTACTTTCCTTGAGCAATGAGGATATGAATTAGGTCTTGGATACAAAGTCCCGCTGAAGTAACGCACTCTCTCTGTGGCTGACACCCATAGTGACGCAAGAAGTCACAATGTTATCTCCAATAAAGTGTAATGAGTAAAGAATACAGCTTGAATTAAATGGTAATATCACTCAGCCCATTTGTCAAAGCAGTAAAGGTAGAAGAAGCTATTTGGACTTTCAGCTGTGTACAGTTCCATTGTTTGAATAAAAAACTGCAGCAGCTCAAAATCTCTTTCAGTAAATGATCCACATTATAATTTGCATTCGCAGTCTAACGCTCTGCAGTATCTTATCTAACAGATAACAGTGGTACTGTACATTCAAATGAAGCTTTAAGTAAATACAAGACAGCAAACTTTTTTAATAGTGGTGCAAGACAATATCGATGCACTGGACTATTATTTTGTGATATTCTATTGATTTTTGTCTTTAAACCCCCAACCACTAGAAAGCAGGGTTGTATACGTATACTGAGGGCTGTGATGTTGGATGTTACAGGGTTGAATATCTCAGTGTTCTGGCTGCATAAAAAAAAGTAAACTTTTCTTAGAACACAGGTTTTATGCATATGGTGGAGTGTTCTTTAAAGTATGACATTGTTTCTGAAGTTATATTTCATTTTAAATCACAATAGATCATATATTAAATAGCCAGATACATACAAAAACACCAAACACTCAATTGTTGCTTTTACAATGTGAGGATTTGCTGCTTTTCTCAGTTTTGTATCATTATATATTATATATATATACATTAATATATCATTATACGTTGAAGTTTGGATCAGACAAAATAAGGCGTCACAAAAGACATCACATTGGGAAATTGTGATTTGAACTTTTAACAAATCTCTGATATTTGTTGAACTAAATGATTAATAATTAAGTGACAGATCAATCAATAATACATTTAATAATTAGTTGCAACTGTGGATGGATGATTTTCAGTTGAATTCATTCTGCTGTGGTGGCAAAGGAGGATTCAGCAGATAAGAGATCGCTGATTCAGACGGAGGTCAAATGTAACTATGTGCTTACAATCAATTTGGAAGTACTTGTACTTTACTTCAGTCTTTCTATTCTTTACTACTTTATGCTACATTCATTTGATATTCAGGCCAATGTCATGGCTGTAGTTACTTTAAGAGGGGCTTTATGCATAATGATTACTTTGGACACTTCAAGTACATTTTCCTGATGATCCTTCTGCACTTTTTACTAAAGATTCTGAATGCAGTAAGTTGAAATGGAGTATTTTTACATTGCAGTGTTGCTATTTAAGAAATATAACTTATATGTGGGGAATGCAGTGGAAACAGGTCTGTAAGGAGAACTTGGACCTTTACTTCAAGTATGTCCAACTGTTAATACTTTAATTATAAGCAAATACATTAAATGGTGGAACTATTAAATATCTATAAAATAGACATTCAATTAGTTTGCGGCTCTGGTTATATAAATAATTCCTATTTAAAAGGTCAAAAGGTTATTAGTTGGTTTCAGTAAGAGGTCTAAAATCCACAAATGGAAGCGAGATGTCCTCTTCTGAAACCCACTGGCTTTTTATTTGTAATATCTTCAGTTCTCTGGATACAATATTTGCTCTCATGTGAGAGAAAGTAGACATTAGTGAAATAAACATTTAATTTAATGTTTTTTTTAATTTAACATTAATAAACAAATGAGCATCAATGGACAACATTGATTTTAGGGTTAACTGCCCGAAGGTTTAAACCAATGAAGGTTTACAGCAATAAACAAAAACACGAGCCCCAACAGACAATGAAGTCGTAAAGAATAAACACACCTTGAAACTTCCAACAGTGTAACCCTCCGCTGTTCAGGAAGTAAGAAAGGTGAGTAGAGATTGACGTCAACAGTTAAAAAATGACTTACCGACAGATTAACCGGATGAATTAATCCCAGGGCTAAAATTAAAGAGGCTGTCAAATATATCCTCATGTTTACACTGAGTTGGTGTTCGAGTTTATTTAGTCTCTCCTCTTCTTCCTCTTCCTCCTCTTCACCGGACCTCCGCAGGTGCTCGAGGCTCTGCCTGGCCGAACAAGCCCCGCCCACATGTGAGACACCAACACTGTCCACAGACCGGAAATAAACAAGCATTGTTTTTGTGGGGTTTCTTTCTTCTAAAAACCAACAAAACAAAAATAATTTCAGTCACTAAAAATGATTTAATGGGAACCAGAACTTTAATAAATCTCCTGAAATTAAAAAAAAAGAACTGAGACGAGAAATTATTTAAATAGTTTAAACTATACTCTGATACCTTTGGTTTCCTTTAATGTTTATTTATTAATAAAAATGTCTACATCAGTGGCTCCAACTCAAGATTTACTTTAATAACAGTGTTTTTTAAGTCTTATTATTACTGTGTATTTGTGCAGTAATTTAATGTTGTAGCAGGTCAGGGTGGAGCCAATAGTAGTTTAATCTATAACAAGGGCTTCTGTTCTTCAGATGGTTTGTTTTGTACATAAAATCTTAACACAGTATAGGCGTCATGTAGCGGAGTAAAAATTACAATATTTACCTTTAAATGTATTTTGTGGAGTAACCTTTTTGATAGATGTGTATTTATATTACAATCAATGGAAACAGTTTGACTACAAACAGCTGATCTCCATTTAACTAATGATGATTCAGTTCACTTACATTTTATTTGTAGAGCATCAAATCTCAGCTGAAGTTATTTCAGGACACTTTCCATATGGAGTAGGTCTCCTTATAAAATTATTTATAGCGACCAAACAATTCTCACCATGAGAAGGAAAAACTGATTCTGATGCGCCACATTCAAAGGGAGGTGAAGATTTATGGAAGTTTATTTTGTATCTGTAAGTTTTCGCTTTGACATTAAAGGATTAAAAAAAAAAAGGCACTTTAAAGCTACTTAATGTTGACAGACAAGATGAAAACTTCTGAGGGTACTTTTTATAGGATTTACATGAGTTTCTGGGTAGTTTTATTTATAGCAACGGTCTATTTTATATAAGAAATCACACACTGTGGTTTGCATCTAACAGCTTATTGTAGAAGCAGCTGTCAGATAAATGTAGTGAACATACAGTATTTCCCTCTGAAATGTAGCAGAGTATAAAGTATAAACTCACTCATTTAACTGTTCACGACCGGTCTACATTTATTATTGACATCAATATTGCGACATATGCCATGTTTATTTTGCCATTGTGTACTTTGTTTGTGATAGTTGGATTGTGGTGAAATATGTTTTGTACTCTTTAAGGGGCCCTTCTACTGGATAGACTTTCAGAAGCATTAATAAAAAAAATCCTAATAATCTAATTAGATAAAAACAGCCACAACAATGCTGGTCAAATGTTAGAAGAACAGTTTAATCATACATAGTCACAATTCTGCTTCCAAAAATGAGTTTGTTTTCTTCATCTAACATCTGGAAATGTACATAAGGCCACCTGAAAATGTACATGACTTTGACAGTGTGACAAAACTCATATGTTCATATTTATATAATTGACAATATTTTACATTGCTTTTGCTTACAAGGTAGTAGCTGTTCCAAAATACAGCACTCTTCTGTACAAAAATAATTCTTGTCATATCCTGTGAAGTTTCCATGGTAGCAGAGAGGACTAAATGCAGCCTCAATTTTAGTACAGAGTGTTTTTTTTTTTGTTCCTTTCTTCTTTTTAAACTGTCACACATCAGAAAGACTATCAACAGTGGATGTTACAGCTCCAGTACAAATAGAGGCTGGCCTTTCCCACAGCGGATTAAAAACAAAAACCATGCCAGATTGTGAAGCCATAAAGTTTTTTTTCCCTTTAAAATAACACTTGATCAAATAAAACTGTATACATTATATTCAAGGGGAAAGGAGTGATGAATATACACACATCAAAATGCACATTTTTGCCTTTTTCCTCCCCAAAAAGTGTAAAAGACATCCCATTTACAGCATAAACGTTTACAAATGTACAACTGTACAGACGAAATAAAAGCATCACTACAAATTTAGAGCAAGGCCTGTCAAACACCACGACTAGACATTTTTTTTTCAATTAAACTAATAATCTTACACTTATTAACTGCACATATACTACATGTATTCTACAATTCATATGAAGCAAAGAAGCCATCACTACGAGCATTACAGGTGAATTGTATAAGCTTTCGATGGCCCCACCAGCCTTCACCAATGCACTTGCATACCCAACCAAATGAAAAAAGAAGAAACTTTAAAAAACAAAATCAGAACCATTAAAAAAAAAAAAGGTTCTTTCAGCCTTCCTTTCTTCAACTTATCCAACTAGTTCTAGTTCATTTCACCTCAGATGTACAAAGCTGGGATAAGCGCCACTTTACAACATTTTCTTTTTTTTTTTTAGACTACTCTGAACTTCAGGCGGTGGGGGTCCCATCACTGCTGCAAGCCCCCTACCCAAAAGCAACAATTTACTCATACATAAAGATGCTATACATCGCTAAGCTACTTCTACGCAAGAGATGATTATTCAGTACATAAAGATACCGTTTTCTAGGGCAGTGTTCATCTCAAACTACAAGACAGATAAGATGTTACACAAAACATGATAAAGAAAAAAATCATTCCAAGGATTAAAACCTGTCACAGCATGCCAACACATAGCCCGCTCCCACCCTACTATCCCCACAAAAAGCCCCCCCCAAACTACGGTCATTTCATGTTACGATTATACCAGGTTACACGCCCGCTGTACAACCAAACCTCATGCTCTGCATCTGTAAGTTAAATGGTAGCTTTTATCTTGCATAAACCCCGAGTGATCACCTGGATGAGGGAAAGACGGCTCAAGCGGGGCTCAATGGATGCAGCAGCTCAGGTTGGTCAGTCTGGAATATTTAGTACCGAAACATCAGGCAGACTACAAGCTGCTGGGGTAAACACACGCCCCGCCCCCCTCAACCACCTGTCCTGGAAAAAAAAAAGGAGGCAAGAAAAAGCTACCACTGGAAAACACTACCCTAGACTGAAGCACCAATCCCCAAAGCCAAGCTCGCAAACTGGTCTTGAAGACCTCTGGGTGACTGTGGCACGTGACACATAGTACTCGCCTGTGGACGGAGGGGTTTATATCCATCCATACTATGTAGTGCTATTTGAAAATTAATCCATCAGCTGCTTTGGCATGGGAAAACACTTTTACTGTGCATGGGATAATATACAAATATAATATTCAATTGCCTAGACTTAATTAGAACAGCTGACATAAGTCTGGTTACAAAAACAAGTGGAATTGTTTTTTTTTTTTTAAAAGGATCACTCAGTTTAGCCTTATAAAATCACTTGCTGGTGTTAATTGTAGGAATTGTAAATTTCAGCAAATGTGTATACGTTTTTTTTTCTACAGAGAATTTACAAGGTAAAAAACTAAATGTACAAGATAATATGAAAACCAGTCAAATACATCAATTACATCATTAACAATGGGCTTGTGCTTTACCCAGGAAAAAAAAAAAGAAGAAAAATCGGCCTGCTGACTGTGCGTCCCCTGGGGGGCCACGCTGGGGACCTGCACCAGGGGTGGCAGAGTGGCAGGGGTCAGTTGTCACAGCGTTCTTAGGTGAAGTTGACTTGTCTCTCTCTCTTTTTTTGGTAATTCCCCAAAAATGGGATGACAGAGGGTGTCAAAGGCTAACCCCTATGGCTAAGGAGCATCTCTCACAGAACAGGGGGTTTGGGGCTCCTACTCCTCCATTTCTTCAGGGATGTTGATGGGACTACATGAGGCCGTTTGTGGGGCCACCGATGGGACCCAGTTCAGATCCGCTCTTCATGTAGTACTTTTCTAGCTTGGCCAGAATGTGCTTCCCGTAGGTGTACTTGCGTAAGGTGGCAATGTGGGGCCGGATCTGGACAAGAGGGAGAGAAGGCAAAACATCAGGAAATTCAAAGCAGAGCTGAAGTGATCAGTAGATGAAGTGATCAAACAATCAAATAAAGTATTTTTTAAACAAAAATCAAAAAGAATTGCCAGTTCCAGCTCCTAAAATGTTTACCAGTTTTTTTTTGGTCTTCTATCAAAGTCAATTTAATAATTTTAGGTTTGGTCAGACAAAACATGACATTTGAACAGTTACCTTGGGCTCTCAAACCAAACAATTAATTGACCAATCAAGGGAAAAAGAATAATAAAGAGACTAATCAATGATAAAATTAATTAGCTGGTTGCAGCTCTACTTCAAAGTCAGTGTGGTGTAATCTCAAACAAATTTCACCAAATGAAAAACACACTACGGAAAGTCCTAAAACATTTCCATGTTCTATACTCAATGTATGTAGGGAACTAGTTCCTAAAGAATAATAATTTTGGAGGTAAAATATTGGTGCACTGTATTTATGGAGAAAAACGTAAATTCTTTTCCCACTTATTCCAAATAATACAAATTCACAAAGACGAGGTTTCAACTAGTTGTATACTTCCTTCCATGTGTGCGTGTTCACATGAATGAAGTAGTTCACCAACCTTGTGCATGATGATTTTACGCTGAGCAGGTTCTGCCATGTCAATCATTCTTTGGACAACATAGTTGGCGTACTGGTCCTTCATCATGGTGTACAGGGCGCTGTGGGGCCCGTCTTTCTGGCAGCACACTTCATCTATCAGCAGAGCTCTCTCTGCACGCGAAGAGTGGATCACACACTTCTCCACGACATTACTGGAGGGAAAATGGAGAGAAATACTTTTATTATTACACACATACAAATTCATAACTGAGTCACTGGCTGGTCATAGCCGATGCTTTTTATTTCTCCATCTGGAAGGCTGAATGTTTGAATCTGTTTCCTTTTTATATCCATATTGTATTTGTGACACATAATACTACTTTTGGATTTCAGTTTTCAAAGTGGGTGTATTGAACATTTTCCATTGCCAATATTATAAGGTAATAAGGGGAAAAGAGGCACTACTCCTTATAAAGTGCAGCCTTACAGGCAGTGCTTTGGATCAACATAGGCATGTGACTGTAGGCAGGGAGCAGCACATGAATCAAACCAATCAGATCTATTAGGCCATGTGATCCACACTGAAAG